GTTGGGAGTTTTGACGATCTCACCAGTAGATAATTTTAGAAGCCTCTCTCCAAAAGGAACATCCTGGATAGCGTGAGGGCTTGTAATAAAAGAAACAAAATGCTCTAACTGAGACGGATCAATTCTCATTCTTTTGTTTTCCCAACTTGGAAGCGGTGCTGCTCGGGCATGTAACAGTCTGTGCCGACGAGCTATGTTGTAACGATATCGGGTAAGCATAGGAATATGTTGCTTAAGTTCTTTGAAGGTAATTTTGTCAGCCATCATCGACAGAATTTGTCGCCGCGTGCTCCAATRCTGTGCTATTGCATAACTTTCAGCATAGGCTTCGAGCAGTTCTAGTTCTTTATCACCTTTGGGTGCGAWTTCTTCTTCATCTTTGCCCACATTGTTATTTTCATGCAACGCCCTCCAAAGGCTTATGGAATCTTCCGGAGTAAGGACATCTAACACAGCAGAAATACATTGCTTCGCTTTTCTTACGTAGCGTCGTTTCGTTATTTCGTGGGCTTTATTCCAGGGTACTGATAGGGAAACGCGAATTGGACTTATATCTCGAAGCTGTAAAAAGCCATTGAGCTGTCGAAGGGGCTCATCATCATCATCATCATCATTATCATCATTGTCACTTTTAGAAGCTTCGACGCTTTCATCTAACTCTTCCTCTTCTTCTCGAGAAGGCACATATACGCTTTCTCTTCTACACTTTGGAGTAATTGGTGAATCTGGTGTCACACGAGTCTGTGAAACAAAGCAATTCCAAATCAGTGTGATAACAAATAAGAAAAAACATTCGAATCAATAACGTAATTCAAGACTGAAAATCGAAATCTTTCTCACTCACCAGTTTCAGGGATTCCATATTAGTTGTCATTTCTTCTATATACTCCGTCACTTCTACCTCAGACTTTTCTAACTCTTCAGTCTGTAGTTTATCCAGCCACATACGGCATTTTGGACAAATTCCTATCAACAACAMGTAGGGRAATATRCCTAAGCAAATTTATAACCGACTTCTACGGATCTTGCATGCGCAAATCTTCATGAAAAGCCACGTGACTGGACGGATTTTTAAAGTCAGAACAAAGAACCGTATGTCTGGCCCAGTATGGGCCTTTTTCACGCGGCAGCCATGTTGGTTTACACAATAGATTCCACTACGCGTATTCTGGCATTCAGAATACATTTATGCGAATGAAACAAGATTTTTATTCTCATAAGAATAAACATGGCTGCTGTGTGATAAAGGTCCTTAGTACCCGGGTCTTATAGTTTGGTAACCACTAGCTGTTATTACAGTTGACCCCACAATGAGAGAACCTTATTTGTTTTAAKGATCATTCAAGCGAGACTACTGGATCGATACAATGCATAATGAGTCATTGCAACCGYAATGACGGCTATTGACTGTGTGGGACAGCTGAGACAATAGGCCTTTTTTTGGCAACAACAGGTCACGTGACCCTACCCCCTTAAAATGAACAGTTGTGTCAAAATCAACATCAGAAATGAAAAGAGCACCTCGATATTATTAAAAGGGCAAAAGTTTTAGCTCATAACGATGACTATAGGAGAAATGGCATTAAATTGCCATTTCTCCTGTGTTACTGACATGTTATAAGCTGAAACTTTGCCATCTTGCTAATATTGAGGTGTTTTTTTTCCATTGCTGATGTTTATTTTGACTCAACGTCTCTTTTAACGGGAGTTAGGGTCACGTGACCTGTTGTTGCAAAAGGCCTATTGAAAACTAAATAAATAAATAAAATTACCATCAAATAATTTAAAAATTTCAAAGTCTCAACAATCACAAATTTATTAAGTGATATTCTTATGAGCATGACATACACAAACATATTGGGAGATACCCCTATCATGAACACTTAGTAACTCATTAACCATTGACTTAAATCAGTATATACCATCGCCTAACAAGCCAACACTATAAGAGCAGTAAACATTTCATAACAGCAACAAATTATAACATCTCATAAATAAATTAGTTTTTCAT